GGGAGGGGAAAAATGAGGACCTAATGCCAGGGGTTTAAGTGGAGAGCAAATGTTTTGAGAATGATGAGGGCAATGAATGTACAAATGTGCTTTACGCAATTGCTGTATGTATGGATTGTGATGGGAGTTGTATGAGCCCCTAATAAAACGATTTTAAAAAAATATGAAAATAAAAATAATTTATAAATTATCAAGAGCTCGGGAGGGGAAAGGGGGGGAAAGAGGAGCTGATACCAAGGGCTCAAGTAGAAAGAAAAGGTTTTGGAAATGATGTACAAATGTGCTCAATACAATTTGATGTATGTATTGTTATAAGAGCTGTAAGAGCCCACAATAAAATGATTTATTAAAAGTAAGAGAAAAAAAAAAAAGGACCAGCCATTCTGGTTGCTATCGCATATTCCTTAGTTTGTTAGCGTCTCACTCAGAGTGTCTGTCTTACCCAGAATTGGAGACCATGCTCTACAAGGATAACTCTCTTGAGTCCAGTTCCCTGTGAGCTGTCATTCGGCTCTGATTGCATCATGCTTACATCTTGTCCCAGGTTTGTTTTTCAGGCTGCCACTGGCAAGGTATTGAATGTGAGGACTTGCATTTCAGTAGGCGGTCCTTGAGGGCTCCAGGGTAGCTTAGGTCTTTTAGAGAGTAGTCTGTAAGACTTGCAAGTAGCTGAAAAGTCTCAGTCACTTAAAATCCTGCTAGTCTGGGATCAAGGAGTTCTGGTGGCCTAATGGTTATGAGTTGGGCTGCTACTTGCAAGGTCAGCATTTTGAAACCAGCAGCCACTCCATGGGAGAAAGATGGTGGGTTTCCATCAGATGAGGTTTTCTACTTCTGTAAAGAATTACAGCCCTGGAAACCCACAGGGGCAGCTCTACCCTGCCCTGTAGGGTTACTGTGAGTCAGAATCAGCTCGGTGGCAGTATCTGTGATCAGGTCCTCACTCTTCATGGGAGAATATATTTTCTGATTACCTACTGTGTACCAGGGAAGTGCTGGAGTGTGGTGTAGTGATTTACTTGATAGGGTTCTTCCACTCACCCATAATCTTTGTAACTCCCAGCAAACAACTTTTTCCTGATGGGCCTGGTAAGAGAAAGTGGGGGATAATGCTTAGGATTATATTGTTTGGTGAGTGATGTGAACAGAGCCCGTCGTGATTGTAAAACCTTGGGTGGAACTGGGGTGTGGGGATTGGTCTGCTTTGCCATCCCATTGGGTATAAAATGAGCCATCATGGTAGGGGGTCTCACTCCATCAAGAAAGAAGAGCCAGGAGTGGAGTGGCCCCTGAGATCCCTGTGCATTGAATCTTCTTGATTCAGGGACAGAAAGCAGTGGCACCAGAGAAGTGGCAGAAGGGTACCAGTAGCAGATCCAAGAACCAGAGCATGAAATAGAGTGGTGGACTTCCTGGGCCCGGACGTGAGTAAAGCTGAGTACGTTTTCCCACGGGGAGCTTGCTTGCACAGTCCGGGGCCTCCATGCACTTGATTGGAGAGCTAGGTTTGCTGACCTGTAGAGCTAGATAGAGCACAGTGCCTTTGGGTTCAGGCTTTTGGTGAGTGCCATTGCCCGAGCCAGGCCAAGAGGGCTGAGAGGCCTGCCTGTGGGCATGGTTGGGAAGGTGGTGTCCTGGCTGAAGAACTATCCTGAGCCTTTTTCATCCTGAATTGCTTTCTGCTTCTGGGAGAAAGAGTTTTTCACAAATGATAGGTGAACTTCCCTAAGAAAGCCCGTGATCGTGAGTATTAAAAAAGGTTGACTTTTGCCCCAGCAGTCGTCCTCGAGCTGATGTTAAGTTGGACTCTTCACACACACACACACACACACACACACACACACACACACACACACACCCCTCCAATGAAGTCAAAGATCTGCATCCCTCACACCTTTTCTGACCGAGGGTTACCCCAAAAAGCAAACCCGCTGCCGTAAAGTTGATTCTAGCCCATAGGGACCTGCATAAGGTTTCCGAGGCTATCGACCTGTACAGTAACAGGTAGCTTCATCTTTCTTCCGTGGAGCCTTTAGTGGGCCTGAACCTTCGACTCTCCAGTTAGTGGTCCTAGGTTCTCTGAGGACACTACTAGGCATCCTTTACAGAGAGGGTTATAGGGATGACTACATGTAGGTCCTGCTGTCCAAGAGCACTGCTAGTGTGCATGTTCTGTGGAATCATTGCTGTAATGGAGGTGTGTGTATAGAAAATGAGGGGAAAAATGAACTCCTTGCCATTTGAGTCGGTTCCAACTCAGAGCGACTCCATAGGACAGGATAGAACTGCGTCTGTAAGTTTCTGAGGTTGTAAATCTTTAGGGGAACAGAGTCTCAATGTTCTCCTTCCCAGCAACTGGTGGGTTCAAACTGCTGATCTTGCCGTTAGTAGCCCATATCGTAACCCACCATTCCACCAGAGCTTCTTGTGGATACAGAAAACTAAAAATAAATAAAACTCACTGCCACTGTGTCAATACTGACTTATAGTGACCCTACAGGTCCAAGTAGAGCTGCCCTGTAGGTTTCTAATACGGTAACTCTTTATGGGAGCAGAACAGGTTGGGGAATTGAGAAAGATTGAGGAGAAATACTTCCTGAAGAATGGGTAGGGATTTGTCTAGAGGATAAAATGGGCAATGTGAAGAAGTAATAACTTATGCAAAAGAAGGGAAGTTTGAACAGTTAAGGAATTACATTGGAATGCAAAGCTGAGAGCTGGATATTGAGATATGGTGTGTTTATGGAGTGCTGTGTCTGCTCTCTTTAAAATATTGTAGGTATTGATGAGGCTTTGAGGAATTGTGAGCAGGCGAGTGACATTAGATTTTTGTGTTTGGAAATTGACTGGTAGCAGTAGGATGAGTGGACTGGAAGGAATGAGTGATGAGGGATAGAGAAGGGGGTGCAGGGACAGGTTAGAGAGTACTCCAGTTTGTCAGAGTACACATGAGCCTTTTCCTGATTGGTGGTATTTTTTGCCCTCTATATTCATGGCAGGTTTATCACCTTCCGTTCAAGTCAACAGACGATGAGGCTTTCTCTTTACAAGTCATGCTGCATACTTTGTAGGTGGCTCAGTCCTACTATCTAGTGTCTACAGTCCTTACTCTGCTTTTGTCCAGTATTGTCCGAAACTCAAATCTCACTGTCGTCGAGCAGACTTGGACTCATAGCAACAACATAGGACAGGGTAGAACTGTCCCTGTGGGTTTCCCAGACTAACTGTATACAAGAGTAGAAAGCTCCACCTTTCTCCCTCAAGTGGCTGGTTTTGAACTGTTGACCTTGTGACTAGCAGCCCAACATCATTCTGGAAACCCTGTTTTATTGTCACTTCCTCTACTGCATAGTCATTTGCTATGATAATTAACAACACACCAGGTGGTTCTGTAGTTTGTGGCTGCAGCAGCAGATTGTCTGGAGTGTTGTCAGAAAGGGAAGATCTGGATCACCATGTCCCGAGGGTGCTTACGCTAAAGTCGTATGCTGGGTTTGCGAAGGGTATGTTCAGCACATGGACATTATTACTTACACTGCTTTGGACTGGATTCTGACTCACAGCAACCCTATGGTACAGAGTAGAACTGCCCCTGTAGGTTCCTGAGACTGTTAACACTTGATGGGGAGTAGAAAGCCTCATTCTATCTCCCTCTGAACTGCTGGTGGGTTTGAACTGCTGATTTTGTGGTTAATGCCCAGTGTGGAGCCCACTATGCCCCCAGGACTCCTTGGTGCTTCCGTGTTGCTGTTGTAATGTGCCATCTAGTCAGAATTTACCCATCGCGACCCTGGGCACCACAGAACGAAATTGCACGGTCCTGCACCATCCTCACGATTGTTGCTATCCTGAACCTATTGCAGCAGCCATTGTGTCAGTCCATTTCCATAAGGGTCTTCCTTTTTTCATTGCCCCTCCACTTTACCAAATAGGATGCCCTCCAGGGCTTGGTCTCTCCTGACAATATGTCCAAAGTATTAAGACGAAGTCTTGCCATCCTTGCCTCTAAGGAGCATTCTGGCTGTACTTTTCCCAAGACACACCTGTGTGTCCTTTTAGCGGCCCATGGCACTTTCAGTATTCTTCACCACAAGGCAAATGTGATTCTTCAGTCTTCCTTATTCAGTGTCCAACTTCCACATGCACATGAGGCAGTGGAAAATACCATGGCTTGGGGGGTTCTTAAACCGATATTAGACATGGTGGTGTGGATTGTATGTATGACAGTTTCTCACAAACCTACCCTCTGTATTTGGTTTTGTTTCATTATGTGCCCCAGCACGTTTGATTGGATAGCTCTCGTTAGAGGAGGTGCGAGTGATGAGAGAAGAAAGATCTGTGTGGATAATCTACAGATTATCGTAGAGATGTGATCTTCATTATCCTTGTTTGTTTTTTTTTCTTTTCGTTTTTCCCCCCAGGCTCAGCATCTAGTCTTTCTCCATGTAGGTTGCCAGTTCTCCGAAGACCGCTTTTAATACACCTGGTAAGTCTTTATTTCTTCCCCATGCTAAAAGCACTTGCCCTGGGTTTGTAAAAGTATTCTTCTACTACCAGCATGGCTTTGCATATATTCCTCATTTTTTAATGTTATAGGAGAAAATTTATGAGAAATTCTTTGGGAAAGTGCTTGAATTTTTTAGAGGAAGACCGTTTTCTCTAAAGGCATTCACACTGAAACTACATAAATGTAGATACCATGCCAAGTAATGTGTGAAAGCATAGTACATACACCTATATGTGTGTGTTAGTCCAGGTAGACTAGAGAAACAAATTCATAGACACTTGTGTACAAGAAAGCTTTATATACAAGAGCAGTTGAATATTGAGACAACATCTCAGCCCAGACTAGATCAAGTCCATAAGTCTGATATTAGCCCATATGTCTGATACCAATCTATAAAGCCCTCTTCAGACTCATGAAACATGTGCAATGACTCCTAATGCAGGAAGATCATAGGCCAGTGGGTGGGAAGTCTTGTGGATCCAGTGGTGGTGTACATATCTCAGCGCTGGCAGGGGTCTCCACGTGGTTCCTCCAGCTCAGCACTGGCTACATCAGGGTAGGTCCATGTGGCTTCACCTCAGGGATGTCTTGCAGGGAATGAGCAACAAGAGAGTGTCTCCCACTTCCAAGGAGGAACACCAGAGTTCCCAGAATCCTCAGGAGAAGGCCATGCCCACACAGAGGCCTCATTGGCTAGGCTAGATTCCACCCCTACACTTTTAATCTTCAAATTGACACCAGATTATGTAGCTACCAGTTCAGCTCCCAATACGGAACGTCTACTATTAGGACGGTTGGCAGTTTGAACACACCTAGCTGTGACTCAGAAGGCTTGGAAAACTTTGTCAAGATTGCATTCAAGAAAGCTCAGTGGGGCAGTTGATCAATAAGACCTTGGGGGTGTACTCAACAAGAGGTTACGAGAGAACTGGGGTTTGGAGAGTGGAATTCTGTAGTGTTCTTAACTAAATTTTCTTTCTTAAAGGTTGTTAAAATGGGACCGTGAAGGATGGTAATCAACGGCCCTGGGCAGGCATGGGAATTAGAAACTTGGATGAAAAGTGCTGGTGGTCGGGAGAAGCACTTGAGGGGCAGCTGGGTGAGGTAGGGAACGACCGAGAAGCCTCAAGCAGTCAGGATTGAATCAGACCGAAAACATGGGGATGAGTGCTGGACTTAAGAAATGGCCAAAGACAAAGGGTGGGAGAATGGACTTGACCCGTGGGAAATGAATAGGGGTAGCAGTTAAGGACAAGTGGATACTGACCAGCCACAGAATTGGGAGAGCCGAAGTGTTAGCCCCTGGAGCAGTAGGAATAAGGCCAGGTATTCCTTGTTAGAAATGGACTAGCTTAGCTGTGTGATGTGTAATTAGTATAGTGTTCCCAAATGGAGATATGCAGTAATGCAGATAGAAAAGTGGTTAGCGCTTTTCACTAGAAAGGGCTCATAAGGTTTGAGTAACAATCAGAAAAGGAGGACCAGGGCTAAAGAGGGAATTGATATCCTCTGTTAAAATGTCCATTTATGAGATGGTTTGGGGTTGGGTTCAGTCCTTCCTATGGAAATTGATTAAGATAACAAGCCTTTGTTTCTGCAGTTTGTAAAATCCCTGCATTAGATACTTAACTGAGTTCCTGGCCTGATGTGTATTTTTGTCTTTGATACCTAGTGTGGCTGTAGCATACATACAGGTTATGAACGAGTTATGAACGAGTCCATTTCAGTTTCCACGTATCTTTATGTCGGATTAGTAGCACCTGACTTGATGGCAGTGAGTTTTTGAGTTTTGGTGCTAGAGAAGGAGCCCTAGTGGTGTAGTGGGTTACACGTTTGGGCTGCTAACCACAAGGCTGACAGCTCGAAACCGCTCACTGTTCCGAGGGAGGAAAATGAGAATTTGTACTCCTGGACAGATGTACGTTCTCGGAAGCCCACAGAGTTCATTCTCCTGTGTCCTGCAGGGTCAGAGTCAGAATGGACTTGATAACAATGGATTTGGTTTTTTATTGGTTTCATGCAAAAGAAGGAAGCCTGGTAGCATAATGACTTATATTGGGCTGCTAACCACTCAGTGGGCAGTAGAACCCACCAGCCGCTCCACGGGCAAAGGATGAAGCTTTCTGGTCCATGAAGATTGACCCAGACTCGGAAACCCAGAGAGGCAGTTGTGAGGCTTTCGACGTAATGGCAGTGAGAGGCGATAACATGGAAGAAAGCATGAGGCCATCAGTGATGTAAAAGCTGTCTGCAGCAGTGAAGCTGATGGTGATAATGAATGTGTAAGTAAGGGCTGGGTCTTGGTTTAAAGGGGAGGGCCAATTTATTTAATATTTGAGTACAAATTATCCCTGAGTCTGACACTGGGAACCCGAGGACTTCCTCTATGGAAAAGAAGAAAGCCTACAAGCAATTTTCTACAAACCAAGCTTGTTGCTGCTGACTAGATTCCCACCCTGTGACCCTTTAGGACAGAGTAGAACTGCCCCACTGAGTTATCCAGGCTCTAATTTTTAAGAAAGCTGACTGCCACATCTTTTCCTGGGAGCCACTGGTGAGTTCAAACTGTGGATCTTTTGGTGAGCGGCCGAGCACTTAGCTGCGTGCACTTAGAGAACAAGAAAGCCCCACAGCAAATTTCTAAACAACAGTATATTATAAGGAGCTAACACTGTTTGAGGAAAAAATGTGTTTTCTCAATGACTGCCTTTCTCAACATTAGATTTTAAAAAATCAAGTGAGAAACTATGGATACAGGTGATAATAAAACAATAGTTACTAATGATAGTAACTTTGAAAGTAAAAGTTATCAAAATTGGAAATGCTGTTTTGTTTTTTAATTGAGACCCTGTGATCACAGATGCTACTGTCTGTTCTTTGAGGAATCGTAAAGTGGAGAGAGTACATTTTGGCACTGCTGTTACCAATAGCACACAGCACATTAGATATTCTTAATAGTGTCTGGTACTTTTCTTTAATTATAGCAACTGTTCGATACATGGTGGGAAAGAGCTGTACCAGATAGAGCTAGTGGAGTAATAGATAAGAGAACAGAGCCCAGAATAGAAGCACACGCATGTAAGTTAGTAAGTGCTAACTGAAACATGACCAGCCAGAGAGAGACTATGCAATCAGCGTTGTTGAAACAGTGGAATTAACTGGGATGAGATAGCAGACTGGATTCCTGTCTTATTCCTTCTTGTACTAGATGGATTAAGGACATTCCTGCCTCGGGGAGTTTATAGTGCCCTGCCCTCTTGTGTGAATTCCTGTTAACGTGGCATGCTCCTTCACATCTTCCAAGATCGCTGCTCAGGTGTCATCTCTGACCCCCCTCTCCACACTCCTTTCCACATGCCTTGTCTCCTCACACTCCAAGCGTGTACAAGTGTGTAAAACAGCACTGAGTATCACAGATTTCATTTGTTAGATAAACGGACACCAGATTTTATATTTGGCCAGATAAAACAAAAACATTCCATTATATGCTGGCATCAAATAAGCCAACAGGGAGAAGGAAAAAACAAACCATGTTTTCATAGTTGGTTTAGTTTAACAACTGCTTTCTGAGAAGGATTTGAAGTATAAGACATCCTCGTGCTCAGCTGTAACATAGATTTCATTTTGATGTGTGCTCGCAGCATGTTGAGATGTTGAGAGAGAGTCACAGGAAGGCACATCCAGTTCTGGAATCAGGCTGCATGTGTGAACCTCAGCTCCGTCATTTGTAATTGTCTTACAACCTTGGACAAGTCACATCTCTGAACCTCAGTTTCTTTGTATGTGGTGACGTCCGTAGTCTGAGAAGGATTAAGTGAGAAAATGTACATGTCCTGCCGGAATGCCTAGGCCTCAGTTAAAAAATTAATTCCATTTTTTCCTTTCTCACCTCTGAAATCTTTGTAGTTGTATTATCTAATAAATGCAGACGCCATTTTCGACTTACCCAGTCAGAAAGTGTGTTGTGGTGGCTTTGCATTCAAACTTGTATTCTCCAAAAATAATTTGTTTCTGCTTTGTTGCAGCAACATCAAACATTTTAAAGAATATAATTGTGTGTGTTGCCATACAAGGGAAAATGGAAATATTCCAAGAACTTCGGAAGCCATCAGCCCGTTTGGAGTGTGACCACTGTAGTTTCAGGGGCACGGATTATGAAAATACACAAATCCACATCGGTACCATCCATCCAGAATTTTGTGATGATATGGATGCTGGTGGGCTAGGTAAAATGATATTTTACCAGAAGAGTGCAAAGCTGTTCCACTGCCACAAGTGCTTCTTCACCAGCAAGATGTACTCCAATGTCTACTATCACATCACATCCAAGCATGCGGCCCCGGAGAAATGGAACGATAAACCCAAAAATCAACCAAACAGAGAAATCGAGCCTGTGAAAAGCCCCCCTCTTCCTGATCAACAGAAAATACCCTCTAATTCAGTAGAACTGAAAACAACACCAGTCCTTTCTCTCGAAACTCAGAAACTTGGCCCCGAATCACCGAAACCTACGCCCCTTAGTCCCCTGGAGCCTCCGAAGCCTGGCCCTACTGTGGCTTCTGAGCCACCATCACCTTCTCTTACTTCTCCTGAGTCTCCAAAATCTGCCTCTGTTTCTTCTCCGCATGTTCCAAACCCAGATCCGGTGGTTCCCGAGTCTCAGAAACCTGCCCCTATTCCTTCTCCTGAAGCACAGAAACATGCCACTGTGTCTGCTGAAACGGTAAAGACTACTCTAATTAATACCAAACCCCAGAAGCACTCTCATTTCCCAGAAACACTGGGGCCACCTTCTGCCTCACCTCCAGAGTCACCAGTTCTGACTGCCTCCCCTGAACCCTGGGGGCCAGCCCCAACTGTGTCTCCAGAACCCCGGAAATCAGCCCGGACTGTTTCCCCTGAGCCCAGGAAGCCGTCCCCATCTGAGTCGCCTGAATCTTGGAAGTCGTTTCCTACTGTCTCTTCAGAGCCCAGGAGACCAGCCCCAGCTGTGTCACCAGGTTCTTGGAAGGCAGGGCCTCCTGGGTCTCCTCGACCTTGGAAATCTAGTCCCTCGGCATCATCAGGACCTTGGAAGCCAGCTAAACCTGCTCCCACAGTGTCTCCAGGACCTTGGAAACCAATTCCTTCTGTATCACCTGGACCTTGGAAACCGACTCCTTCTGTGTCCCCATCTTCCTGGAAGTCTTCCTCCGTATCACCTGGTTCTTGGAAGTCTCCCCCTGCATCTCCTGAATCATGGAAATCTGGCCCACCAGAACTCCGAAAGACTCCCACCCTGTCTCCTGAGCATTGGAAAGCAGTTCCCCCAGCATCTTCTGAGCTCCGTAAAGCAGGGCCTCCCCTGTCCCCGGAGATTCGAAGCCCAGCGGGATCTCCAGAACTCAGGAAACCCTCCGGGTCCCCCGAACTTTGGAAGATTTCCCCTGAGCAAAGGAAAACTCCGCCTGCCTCTCTTGATTTCCCCGAGCCCCAGAAAAGTTCTCATGGTGGTTCTCCTGATCTCTGGAAGTCTTCCTTTTTTATTGAGCCTCAGAAACCACCTGCCTTCCCTGAAACCAGGAAAGCAGGTCCTTCTGGGCCATCTGAATCCCCTAAAGCAGCCTCAGACATCTGGAAACCCGTCCTCTCCCTGGACCCTGAGCCGAGGAAACCTGCCCTTTTCCCTGAGCCCACCAAGGCAGCCCCAGCTCCTGCTCCTGAACCACGAAAGCGGGCTCTCTTCCCAGAGCCCAGGAAGCATGCCCTTTTCCCCGAACTTCCGAAATCTGCTCTATTCTCTGAACCTCAGAAGCCAGGTGAACTTGGTGATGAACTGGTGGTCGATGCCCTAGACGATCCTCAGTGTGGCATGTTGGGTCAGGAAGAACTCATCACCCCCAAGGCACTTTTAGATGACACTTTGTTTTCTGCCTCCAAGAAGTTCAAGAAAGACAACCAAGAGAACTCCGATGCTGAGCTTAGTAGTAGCGAGTATGTCAAGACAGATTTGGATGCGATCGATATTAAGGGCCAAGAATCAAGCAGTGATCAAGAGCAGGTTGATGTAGAATCTCTTGATTTTGGTAAAGAGAACAAACTGGATATGGCTAGTCCTGAACAGTCCAAACACGTGCTCCAGTTTAATGAAGAAAAAGAGGCTTTTATTTCTGAAGAAGAGATTGCAAAATACATGAAACGGGGGAAAGGAAAGTATTACTGTAAAATCTGTTGCTGCCGTGCCATGAAAAAAGGTGCCGTCTTACATCATTTGGTCAACAAGCATAATGTTCACAGCCCTTACAAATGCACAATTTGTGGCAAGGCCTTTCTGTTGGAATCGCTCCTCAAAAACCACGTCGCTGCCCATGGGCAAAGTTTACTTAAATGTCCCCGTTGTAATTTTGAATCAAATTTCCCAAGAGGCTTCAAGAAGCATCTAACTCACTGCCAAAGCCGGCACAATGAAGAAGCAAATAAGAAGCTGATGGAAGCTGTGGAGCGCCCCCTGGAGGAGCAGCCGATTTAATCTTCACACGGGACGTGCACGTGTGCTCTACAGAGGTGTTTGCTGAAACCGTTGTCTGAGATGTAGCTTACTTCCGTAGCCTCGTCGGATCAGTTAGATGCTGATGTATGTGATCGTCCTGTGTTAAATCGTCCTGGTTGTGTTTCAGAGAACAGCATTTGATTATTTTTTTATGGTCTTTATGTGGCTGTCTTGTAAAACAATAAATGGTATATTCCAGATGGATAGAAATTTCTCATTTCTTTTCAGTATATGTGAATACTATGAAGAGGCAGGCATTCCATTTTAACTCATGAGCAAGTTTCACTCCATTGCAAACATCTAGTGCATCTTCTGGGGAAACTGATTTTGGACAATAGAAATAATTATTTGGCGTGTTTATGATTTCGGTTTGAAAAGTTAATTGGAGAGACCTTACCTTTCCTCAAGTGCATTTTCATATCCTAAAATGTTACTTGGATCAGTTTCTATTTGATCATCTAAAATTAGCTCGTTTATAGATGTACATTAGCTCTCGTGGCATGAAAAATTAGTCTCAGGGCTGCTGATTTCTTGCTAAAGAGGGGGGAAATTAAACCAAGTTTTTAAAGCCGTTTATATCCTTCTCTTGGACAATACTTAGAAAACTAGACTGGCTACTGGAGACTAAGGAGCCCTGGTCTCAACAGAGCTAAACGTGCTACCAGTAAGTGAAAGGCCAGTCAGTGGTTGAACCCACTAGCTGCCCTTCAGACGATAGGTGCGGGGTCTGCTTCCTTAAGGATCACAGGCTAGCATTCTCTTCTGTCTTTTAGGGTTGCTGTGAGCTGATAGTGATTTCACAGCGATGGCTAGTACAGGAAACTAAGAAAGGTTAGTATATTGCGTTTCTCTTGCCCTTAGTTATAAAGAACACTTTCCAGTGGATTCTTCCATTCTGTATTATATCCCACGATTTGGCCCTTCGCTTCCCTACAGCTCACTCCAAGAGATGATCCTTAATTGCCAAATGTGTTAAGAGTTTGGATGTACGTCCTACCTGAGGTCACCTGATGGGACTTCAGGTTGGAGAAATGAGTCTTCCAGATTCACAGTAGGAAATTTTATAAACACATGTCTGTTGGAAAAGTATTGCTTTTATGTTTTTTACAGTTTTGTTATTTGTGGCTGTCCATGGATAATTTTATTCTACAAGTATTTGTCAAATGTGTGTTACCAAATTAAACGCAAAGGCTTTTATGTCAGCAAAGTTGGGTGTTTTCATTTAAGTGATTTTTGTGGTATGCTGTCCAGCTTCCATTGATTTCTATTTCTCAACATACTAGTTTTCTTCATGGCAGCAGCTTTTGCTAAGCTGTTTTTCTTGGGAGTGGAAGTGGGGTGGGGTTGTGTTAGGCCAGATGCGTGTAGAACAGTGGTCCTCAACCTGTGGGTCGTGACCCTTTGGGAGTCAAACGACCCTTTCACAGGTTGCCCAATTCATAACTAGCAAAATTGCAGTTATGAAGTAGCAATGAAAATAATTTCATGGTGGGTTAAAGGTTGTCAGCATTAGGAAGGTTGAGAACCACTGGTCTAGAGAAACAAATCCAGTGACGTGTGTGTGTGTGTGTGTGTGTGTGTGTGTGTGTGTGTAACAGCTTTTTATCAAGAAGTATTTATAGATTAAGAAGGCAGCCCAGCCCAGTCCAACTCAAGTCTGTAAGTTCAATCTTGACCCTCTTCAGACTCAATGCTGATGATGTAGAAAAGCGAACCAGGAAGCAAGAAGGCTCTAGCCTGCTGGGTGCGGAACATGGTAGGGTGCTGCCAGCTCTGGGGCCTGTGCCCCCTGGTGGCAGACAGTCCCAGTCAAGCCCCACCGAGGTGAAAAGGGGCAGAAGCAGTTCCCAGAGTGCATCGCTCAAATAGGCCACACCCCCAAGGCTGTCAGCAAGCTATCATTTGATTTGACAGGTCTGCCTCCACCCCTAGTTATGAGTATGTAGTTGACATGAAATCCAACTACCACAGTGGTCATGTAGATAAAGGAAGTACCCCCCACATTATCCAAGTGATCCCTGATGGAAAATCTCACTAATGCACATTGGGATTTTAAAGTTTCTGGGTTTTTTCGTTTGAAGGATACCTGGTGGTGAGTAGTAATGCATTGGACTGCTAATCATAAAGTCAGCAGTTCAAAACCACTAGCTACTCCTTGGAAGAAAGATGGGGCTTTCTATTCCTGTAGAGTCATAGCCTTGGAAACTCACAGGGTTAGTTATACCCTGCCACGTTGGGTTGGCATTTGATAGTTTGGTGGTTTGGGGGACTAAGGGGTTGGTAGCATAATAAAGAGCCCTGGTAGCGTAGTGGATCCATGTTGGGCTGCTAACCAAAAAGTCCACTGTTCAGAACCACCAGCTTCTATGGGAGAAAGACGAGGCTGTCCACTTCTGTAAGGAGTTCCAGCCTTAGAAACTCAAGGGTAATTCTACCCTGTCACTGAGTCAGATCCATTTAATGGCAATGAGTTTGGTCTGAGTTTGATGGCATAGTGGTTACATGTTAGTTTGAAACCACCAGCCACTCCACTGGAGAAAGATTCACGGTCTCACTGGGCCAGTTCCGCCTTGTCCTACAGGGTCACTTGGTCACTTTGAATCTGAAACGAGACAATGGCAGTGAATCTGATATTATAAGCCTTAACCCTGAGATTTTAAAGACAGGTACTTGCTGAGTGTACTAAGGTAAGCCTTTAGACGTTGGGTGTGGATTACCTTGGTAGGTGCAGTGAGCAGGAAGAGCATGTTAAGTCACCCAGTGTTAGAATCGTGGCCATTTAACACAGACACTTTGAGAATGAATTGCTACCTGGGCTCACGTTTCCTAGGCAGTGAGGCCAAATAGGATTGGGTAAGTTGGAAAGCCTTTATCTACACTGACAAGACAAATCAATGGGGAAGTGAGTCTCTAGCTCCTGTTTTGAAGTCGTTGAAGCTCATGTTTTTCCCATTTACCCTGACAGCAATTCTTGTCTGGGTGACTCCCCAGCTTTGGTGCAAGCCCCTAAAAGTATCCTTAGGCTTTTGCCCAAGGTGAGCCAGCCAGGTCTCCAAACTCACCATCTGAGTTTTGCTACGTGGGGATTTTCTCAGTGCCCTCAATAGGGCCCTGTGCCAGAAGAAGTGAAGAGTGTAAGCCAGAATAACGTGTCTCCTGGGCCTTTATTAAGACCTTCACTGTCGCCCTGTCACCTCACTGAAGGGGTTTCCTGCATTTTTGTACTTGTGTCTCGAGATCAGAATGAGCTGTACAGACTCATTAGAATTTAGTGACTAACTTCAGTAACTTTCCTACATGATCAGTATCCCATTCTAATCAATCTTAAAATACGCAGTCTTGTTTTCTAGCGATTGTATAACAAAGAATACATTCTACTTAACTCCACATTCAGTGGGTTTTACTTGCTTCCATTACGCTTTGGGCGACAACTTCCATTGCACTATAAGAACGTGAGCTGCTATGCATATAGCAGATTTAACTTCCATTTTTAATGTTGGTGTGGATACCACAAGTTTGTCTTGGGTAAAGATCCTGAAGGAAATTTACCAAATCTGCAAGCATTGTAAAAGTGCCAGGGATGTCTTTAAGGTAGATCTGCTCTCCCAGACCTAAAACTGAGATTGTTACCCTTTCTCAATGTAGCAGTTTATGTTCAGGCATAATTTTCATGATGTGATTGATGGTATCCTGTTGCTGCTATCATAATTTTTTTTTTTTTTTTTTTTTTAGCAAAAAAAACCATTTTATGGTTGGGGGATCACCACAACGTGAGGAACTGGATTAAAGGGACACGGCATTAGGAAGGTTGAGAACCACTAGTGTAGAGTAATGGGGAAGTCCATTGGAGCAGGGTCATTTGGGAAAGGTCAATTCTTTGAGGGGGAGGAGTGATGAGGGAGCCCATTCTTGAAACGAGATGGCACTGGAAGCACCGGTTTCTTGGGTGGAGGTTATAGGGATGCTTTGAAGGAGGGACTGGTGGGATGGCAGCAAAGAAGTTTCCAGTATCTCATCTTTAGGATGAATGCTGCTATCATAAATTAAGTGATGTAAATTAATTGAATCCTATGGTAGCCTTGTATGTGAGGCTTTCTTCTCTGATCTTGAAGTTGAGCTTAGAATCAGTGAGACAAGTTTTCATCTCTGTGCAACCGGAAGGTTAATTCATAAAAATCAGATTATAACTGGTAGTTAATAGATTATTCTGACTAAAAAGTAGCCATTTATGTACTACTTGAATTCTTACCTATAAAATGGAGAAGTGCAAACACTTTTCTTCAATGTTCATAGGTGGCTTTATTCAGGAGTACAGGCTAAAATGTAAGAATTAAACTTCTGCAGAGATTTCCAATGTGTACATACCTTTAAGAAAGCTTAGCTCTGGGTTTTCAGTAAAATCAAGGTTGGGAAAGAATTACAAGTAAAGACTTCCATTGAGGGCTAAGCATTGTTCTAACCACTTTGTACGAATCGCTTGAATCTCAGAGCAATCTTTTTAGTTTGGCATTCTGTCCATTTCCGTTTTAATGCAGATTTGGTCATCTTATTCCAAAGGTGAGGTAGTAACTGCCAGGCTACCAAACAGTTGGTTATGGGAGTGGCGAGGGGTGGCGTAGGGAAGCGGCAAGTGTCCCCTTCCTCTAGGACTCCTAGAATCTAGGAGTATGCACAGCACTTTCAGAGGTGTTACTGTGATTTGGTCTGGCGGTTTAAGCCGTGTGCGGCTGCTGACAGCACACCAGCTACTGCGGGGGACAAAGATGTGGCGGTCTGTGTCCACAAAGATTACAGTCTCGGCACTTAATGCGGCACTTGTTCTGTCTCTTCATTCATTACGAGTTGGAACTGACTGAATGGCCGTGGGTTATTCATTCTTGCCTAAGTCCCCATTCCACCCCGTCGTGGGAATGACTGTTTTCACTCTAGAGATTTTCATCACCCCCCACCAGCCTTTCCGCCTACATTTACTTTCTGCCAGTTGTTAGTTGCCATAGAGCTCACCCTACCTCCTGGCCACCTGCTGTTGTGCACAGTAAAACTGCACCGGAGGGTTTCTCAGGCTGTGACCCTTTGGAAGCAGATCGCCGGGCCTCTGGGTGGATTCAAACTGCCAGTCTTTTGGTTAGCCCAGTGCTTAACTATTTGTGCCATTTAACAGTTCTCTGTCTAGATGGAGAGACACTGTTTCCAACTACTACCCCATAGCCATTTGCAAACCTGATAACCCCATCAGGACAGTGAAGGATATTCGGCTCTTTCATGTGGAAGTGGAAGGCCAGACTTCTGGGGACGAATGGTAAACAAGATACTGGGACGAATGAGCGATGCCTTCCTGCCTGGGTTATATTGTAACTCGTCTAGGCCATTGCCACAGAGACCCTCAATGGGCTGACGCATCCAGCCACTTCTGTCCACTTCAGTTGCCACCAACCCATGTCAAACCTCCTTATCTCCTGGCTCCATTTTTGCTCTCCTTAACACACTCGGACCAAAGTGATCAGAAAAAAACCCCAAACCCACGTCTTGTTAATGTCAGGCTTGAAGTTATTTAGCCATGTCCCGTCGCACTTGGGCTAACAGTCCCTGCTTATTCCTCCAGCCTGTTCCCACTCCGGGTCCTCCTATCTTGGAGGCAGCCGTCAGTCACCCCCTCTGTCCTGTGGGGTCACTGAGTTAGCATTTACTCAGGCACACATAGCGGTCCTACTCCTGGGAGCGCCCGGGGACACACTGGTTGAACAGTCAGCTGCTAAACAAAAGGTCTTTGGTTCAAGCTCACCAGTGGCTCTGCATGGAGACAAGTACTCCCATAGAGACTTTCAAAAAACCCAACTCTGATGCTCCGCCCTGCAAGGTCGCTGTAGGGTAGATGCTGACTGATGGAGAGGCCCGAGGCTAAGGCTCCTTCATGCTCTGTGGCAGGCTGTTTTACCACCAATCTGGTAGTGTCCTGTATTCTTTTAAATGGGATTTAAAATGAGGCCAGCAACAAATTATAAAGTAATTTACTTTTTGAGTCCTGGTTTACACATCGGGCTGCTGACCACAAGACTGGCAGGTGCAGCTTGTGTGATCATGAGGTGTC